TAAAATTGGTACTGTGGAAAGCCTTTAATAATTGCCTGCAGCTCCTTGAAACTCCTTAATGGGCAATTAATTGTCTCCTGGCTCTGTTCTGCCAGTGTGTCTCCTTCTGAGTAGCAGTTGACTAACATTTTAAGGTAGATATGTAACAAGGAGCAACAGTGGTGACCTGGATGATTTTTAACTACATTTGTTGAACTTATCATGGTGCTCTTTCAGGTCACAGAATAGACTGGGCATCTGTTCCCACAGTCTCTGGTGGATTGGGTACACATGTGCACATTTTTATGTATTGAACAGTTATAGGAGGTAGGGGAAAAAAAAGACCTGGTTCAGCCCACCCTGGTTCACAAAACAAATTTACAGAACCTCTGGCATCTATTTACTGTAGGCTTTGGGGAGAAGAAGCCCATGTTAAAAGAATGTTATTAAAATAACAAAAAAGTTAGGAAATGGCAGAAACAGCCTGCTTATTCAACTTAAAGTGGTATATATATTACCAAGAAGGGAGAGAGAGGGAGAGAAGACAGATAGATAAGATAGGTTGTGGGAGTCAGTCCTTAGTTGCGTAGTGCCTCATTTGCTTGATGGGCTATCTGCTCCAGTGCACAGCTCGCCAAGGACTGCAAGCTTGTCTGTGATACAGGTTAGGCCAGCCCTAAAAACTGCAGTGGTATCTCATGTCTTCAGATGTAGCATAGGTCTAACTTAAAGTGTCTTAATGCACACGGTGCTGGACAGACCGCTGCTGCTCAGGAGCTCTGTTTCCAGACAGTAATCTAAATAAGATCAAATGTGATTGTACAGCAACTTTGTTATTAAAGGCTCTGGCAATGGAAAAGCTCTAAAAAAATTTACTGTTTGAGCCCAAAGGGAGGTATTTTTATAAAGCGAGCTGACAAAGGTGTTAAAGGGAAAGTAAGTTTATCATTTGTAGTCTGAAAATTCAAAGCCAGGTGGAAGAACTGCCTCATAGTGTTCTCACTCCTTGGGTGAAAACACTGGATGCAGCAGAAGGTTTCAATCCGTGGCAGTTCTGTCGGCTCTGAGCTGTGACCCTGTATCCAAGGCAACTGTATCTGATGGTGAGGTGGTAAGGAACTATAGAATAAATGAGAGGTAGTTGTGAAATATACAGGTATGACTCTATCAGGGGCAATAATGATGAAATTCTCACAGGTGGAAAAGGGGTTGAAGGGAGCGCCAGAACCCAAATATGAGATTCAGAATATGATACTTTTTTCCTTTATATGGTATATGTGTTAGTCGGTAAAGACCAGCCAAGGCTGTTGGAAAGCCATGAAGTAAAGCAAGTGTGGAACAGACACGAAAGAAAATTGGTTGCTCTTAGTTTATCTGTCTGTGTTCTGTAACCCCCTGTCTCTTGGGGACCAGCCCTATAAGATCTTAGTCTTTATGTTGCACTAACTTCTTTCCCTCTGGAAGGACCATTTTGGTTATAGGTTGGGTTTTTTGTTTATTTCTGAGAAATCATTTGTTTAAAAAGTTATATTCGACAATTTTAGTTTCTTTTGATCCCTTTAAATATAACTGCATTATAGTTATATAATGGTGCAGCGATGATGCTGCTCTCATGATCTAAGTGGTGTTACACTCTGGGATTTAAAATGATTCCTCAGTTATGCTGATTTGCTATTTGAGCCAAGTCCCATGGCAGGACACCTGCATAAGAAGAGCTGAGGGGCTGAATGAGAGAGGCAGGGACACACGATGCCATGGTAAGGACTGGAAGACTGACTTGTGTTCAGTTTTCAAGGTGACTGAAACTTTCCTCCATCTCTGGATAAATATATCTTTAGTGGAAAACTGTCACCCCCTTTAATCTCACAATATAGTAAGACAAGGTAATTGCCAAATCAATTGGCCTGAGAGAAGAGCTCACAGGTATTAATGCTGCTATTCCTTTTCGTCTTCTGGCATCAACCATCTCTTTTACACGTAAGAAAATGGATAAAAGAAAAGAAAGCAAGAGCAACAGGAAGCGTATCACAAGTCTGTCCAGTTCCACTACCTCTTGAATCCATCACCAGCTTAAGTAAATTAAAAATCCAGGTGAGCAGAATAGTAACCACAAAACCTATTATGCAAGTCAGAATGAGGGACTCATTAATTGCCAGCATTTACCCATGAGAGGCTGCTGAAGGGTAAGTGTTATCTGGGAGTTTTTATTAACTCATCTCTACTAATTCTATTTGTTTGGGGAGAAGACGTATCAAACAGCTGAAATTAAAGCTGCCATAGAGCTTCTATCTGAAGTAATGGGTCAAAATGGAGCAGAATTAGCATGAAGGAGGTTGGCATATTGTGTCTGAACCACACAGAATCAACCCCAAGGTACCTGTACAATATGTGTCGTGGCCATGAAAAATGCAAAGCACTGTTGTGCTTCTTGTACTGTCTTAGAAGAGCACAGGCAGTCCCAGATGAATTTGTTTCATCCAGGCATCATGATGTACTTAGCCTTGAGCAGAGGCTGAGCTCAGAGGTACAGAACATACCAGGACTGACTCCTCATGGTTCAGGTGGTGCCGAAGGGACAAACACGACTAACAAAGGAAGACCCTATATGAAGGGTACATTAGTGCACTTCTATCTGCTAGCTGTTCGCTTGAAGTTACTGTGTTTGCCTGGCCTTTTTGCCTGTTTTATGTGTTTCTTAGTGCTCTTGTTGCTGTGGTGGGTCCTTTCACCTTGCATAGCTACATACTGAATTTTGGTAACATTATGCTTCAGAAAATCTTGCTTAAACAAACCACATCAAAAATGTAAAACTTCACCACCTCTCATGAATGATCACCAGAAAATAGTAAAAAGCTTCAGCACATTTACAAGTTGATCCAAACTGTCACTGCCTCTTCCCTTTTTTTTTTTTTTTTTTTTTTTTTTTAAATTAATAAATGTGTCTAGCCATATGTGTGACAATAAACCCATTTATTTTGATGGTGATGCTCACATGCTTGCTGTGAAGCACATGTTTAAATGCTTTGCTGACAAGGCATGGGCGAACAGATGCCTTCTCTGTAATGAGCTGGCCATGTAGCCCTAACTGGCAACCACAACAGGCTCCCCAGCTTCTTCTGGGGACCAGGCACTAGTTGATATTCATCATCAAATGGGAAGGCTCCCACAAGCAGCCAGCCCAAGCCAGGTAACAGCTTCACCCCTCAGAGGAAGAGGAACTGAGTAGAGCTTCCCAGTCCCCTGTGTTAAGCCCAGGGCAGTTCTTGTGAGATCCGCTCAAGGGTGGCCTTTTAGAATTACAAAATGGAGAGACTGTGGGTCCAGGAAATAAAATCTAATGACCCCTTTGGTAGTTTTTTATTTTCTGATAACACTCTGCAAGTTCTTCACTGTCTTTTACAGAAAAGACTGTTTCTACTGTGAAGATACTGATGATGCAGTATAGTCCGAATGGCTGGCAAACAGATGTTTCCAAGCATGCCAAATCTGTTGTGAAAATAGTCCACTTCTTTCCTCAGGCACCTTCATGTCATTGAAAAAATAATTCCAAGTTTGCTTGTCAGAACCATTTACATTCTTTTATCAACAGATGCAAAATTCTGTATCATTGAAGTATGAAGGTAGCACAAATAAGTTACTGAGAAAAATATAGCCATTACAGAAATAAATCGATAGATTTCAAGCATCAATCTCAACTCATTATACATAGGAAATATTTTCCTGTTGCTGTTTAAAGGTTTGTCATGATAATAAAGTGGTTTTAATGATTTTATTATGCTCTGTGATAAAAGTAGCTCCTTTTTCTTCACAACCTTTCATTGATGTGGTCTGATGTTGATATTTACCTCCCAGAATATGGTACTTGTTCAGCATTTTCGTGGAACAATAAGGTAAAGAAATTTTAGCATGTGGATTTTTGACAAACCGTTCGTTTAAATTGTTTGTGGTGGTTTATTCATGGGACAAGAGCAGTCACCTCAATCCCATCGGTATGCTTTTTGACTGAACCACCAAGCATTTTTACAGGGAAGAATGGCAGAACAAGGGCAATACCTACAGAACTGAGCTTCAGAAGAATCTTCCTGAGATTATATGTGAAATATATGTAGTTCTTTTTCATAAAACAACTGGTATCAGCAAATAACATGGAGCAAACGTACTGTATTTATTTACATGAAAATTTAAGATTGCTTTTGCTGTTATTTAAGCATATATAGCTACAAGGCATTACTGCTTCCATATAAAATTATGTGTATGAATAATGTCAAAAGACAATTCTTGAAAAGAAGAGGTGGATTAATATTGCTGCTGGATCCTTCCAGAGTTTGTATACTCCAGTTTTTCTATTTAACTGCATGCCAGTGTTTTTCCCTACTGTAATTATTAGTCTGCCAGGTGGCTTAAACGGGGCCATGGCTTTTCCTTCCTTCTGTGATTGTATCAGGTGGGCTAGCTGCATCTGAGATTTGGTTAAGACTTTAAAGTGCTGTTATTTTTAAAACAATATTCAATCTTTGGGAGGTGGGTTTTTTTTTACCCCCTGTTATACAACCTGAAACCTTCTACCTTCTCAGCGGGAGTGGTATTACCAGCCCTCGATAACAATAGTATTATGCTGGGTTACAGCTTGTCAATAGAGAGCTTAAACTTTCCATCAGGCCACGCTGGCTCAGACGCGTGGGAGCAGGGAAATGGCCTCTTCATCTCGTCTCATCTCAAGGTGGTTTGGGCTCAGAAATGCTTCCACCTGTGTCTACAGAGTGTCATTTCTCTGTTAATATAATCTTTTGTCTCTGCAAGGATATTTTGCTCTCTCTTGAGTTGTGCTCATCTCGTTGAACTTTCTGGCACCTTCTTCCTTCATTCTTTCCAAAACTCAGTTTCATGTTGGCCTAAGCTGACTTAGAGGTAACTCCTTCTTTTGTTCAGTGAGATGGGACCTTTGTTAAGTTACATATGCCCTGAGCTTACACATGAAAAAGACATGTCATTAACGTTACTCATTTGTTTCCACACCTTAGGTTTCGGGATGACCACACCAGCAACCGTGGCTGGAAAAGTATTCCTCATCATTTATGGCCTTTTTGGGTGTGCCGGGACTATCCTTTTTTTCAACCTCTTCTTGGAGCGCATTATCTCTCTCCTGGCATTTATCATGAAGGCATGCCATGAGAGACAGCTGCGAAGAAGTGGTCTCCTACCTCCCAACTTCCGAAGGGGGCCAGCTGTGCCAGGGGTGGGCAGCCTCGTGGGGTGGAAGCCATCTGTTTACCATGTGATGCTGATTCTGGGAATTTTTGCTATTACCCTTTCCTGCTGCGCCTCCGCAATGTACACAGCAGTGGAAGGATGGAACTACGTTGACTCCTTGTACTATTGCTTTGTCACCTTCAGCACCATCGGCTTTGGAGATTTGGTAAGCAGCCAAAACGCTGCATACCAAAACCAGGGATTATACAGATTCGGCAACTTCATATTTATATTAATGGGGGTATGTTGCATATACTCTCTTTTTAATGTCATCTCAATCGTAATCAAGCAAGTTTTGAACTGGGTGTTGAAAAAATTTGAATGCAGATGTTGCCCAAAGTGCCATAAATCAAGTGCCCGCCTTGGACGTCGCAATGCCATCACCCCAGGAGCCCGCTTACGTCGACATAATATCTCAATGGACGCTGATGGACAGTACGACAGTGACACCGAGGGGAGGAGGCTCTCTGGAGAGATGATCTCCATGAGGGAACTCACAGCATCAAATAAAGTCTCCCTGGCCATTTTGCAAAAGCAGTTGTCTGAGACAGCCAATGGCTACCCGAGGAACGTTTGTATCAATACAAGACAAAACGGTTTCTCTGCAGGGGTGGGTGCTTTAGCCATCATGAACAACCGCTTGGCAGAAACAAGTGATTCTAGGTAGAGTTTTTGAAATTCCTATTGTTTCTTTAATAAAAATAAAATGGTGATTGAGGTGGAATTGTTACTGTAAACGACTGGAAAATTTTCAATTCAGAGACAGCCTTGGTATTCATTGGGCATTCAGCATTTTAGTTTCTGGGGATTTTATAAGTCTTGTCTAATATGCAGTAACATCTTTACCATAATGTTATAATTTTTCCAAGAGGAGATTTTTTGGAGGAGGCTTGAATGTCTTTGATGCAGAATCTGCTGCAATTGTAGAAGAGTGGTGTGCATGGTTACAATGGTGTCAAAACCAACATGTTCTTCTTCAGAACATATCCTGAACCCAAACTCTGGGTTAAAATGCATAAAATGGGCAAGTTCGGCTCCAGGTTCAAACTTGGGGTTGATATGGTTTGGCTAAACCAGTATCTCACCGTTTGTTGAAGTCTGGATCTGGCCCTGAACTTTGTACTCTGTGCTCTTCGGCAATTCCTCATAGCAGGCCTGTATATAACATACACGTAGGAGACTGCAGTTACACCAGCTTTAGGGTGACTGTACTTCACTTGAGTAAACCTACTGACTTCAGTGGTAGAGGATCAAATGGACTGAATTCCCCTGACTATAAATGTTTTTTAGTCAGTCTTGTCTGAAACACTACCTGCTAGCTAATTCTTAAAAGTCAGAGGATTACCAAGAACCATGTTAAAATGTGCAAAACTATTCCTACCTGCTGAATTACTGAAAACAGGCAATTGTCAACTTCAGTACTAACTTCTTTCAGTGCAAGAGAAGTCAGTATGCACTTCTGGTGTCAAACGTTTGCATCACCACTGAAATGCTTATTGCATTACCTTTACAGGAAAATAAGTAGCTAAAATGAATGTAGGCACTCTGTTGTCCTAAATTTGCATGTTTACTTCTGCAATATTGTTGCAGAGATTCATGCAAACTAATTCCTTGCAGTTTTCTGGGGGCCCCAATCCTGTACTTGTTTCCCACAAATCTGATAGTGACGGTTATACAGAATAGCATTACTTTGGAGCTCTCCCAGAATCTGACTTCCCTCAAAACATTGCTCCTAAGTCATAAATTGAACTAAGGCTGTTGCTACTGACTTAAGGCATATTTAACCTGTGCTAGCCCAAGCCACTGAAGAACCAGAAGCATCTTCAAGCAAATGTAACCTAAGTGTCTAGTTTAGCATGACAAATGGGTGCATAGGATTTACTGCAGATCTCTTTCAGAAATATCTGCAAAGCTCTGGATCGTTTCTCCAAATTCTCTATACTATGCCACTCCTTTGAGGCTGTGAAACTTAATGAAAAAGGCTTCTGCTGATTCCAGCAAGAAATACAACTTAAGCTTGAAATCTGAGAAGCCACGATGGTCAGCTGTTGAAAACAACTTGGGTAATTATAGGCAAGATCATGGATACTAGGTTGATTGCTGAAGAAATTGAAAAAGCTGATAAAAAACAAACTAGGAATATTAGAAGTTTTTGAAAATATTTACATGAAGTTTCATATAGATATTTTACTCTGTTATCTACTTTGTTTTGTATGGGTTTGGGGTATCCGTCAGTTTGCTTTCCTTTAAATTTGTAGTAGTGCAAAACGTTTTGGAAGTTAACCTCAGAAAACTAACTTTTAATTTGTGATTTTTCACACTTGAGCCTGCCAGCTGGAGTATGGCAATGATTGTATCTTTTGCCTGAAGGAGAAGGAACCAGAGCAGCAGAAAAACCATCACTCATGGATCTGTATCGTACTATAAATGTAGTCACAGCTTTTGTCAAGATACGTTTGGCCAGAAACACTCAATGATATTTGTGTTCTGTATCTACCCGATACAGACTCATACTTAGAGAGTACGTGGTATGGCAGAGATTGCATTCAAGAGACATTCATCTGGCAGGACCTTCCCTGGTGGCAGAGAGACCCCCTAAGGTCCATGTCTGAGTGCCTGTCTGTCCGTGTACTCCATCTCAGATGCTATGTTTCAATGGCCCTTTGAAGAAGCAGGCAGAGGTCAGAGTGTAATCCGAATCTAAAGTCCGCTGAAGGATAAATTTAAGCAGGATGTGCAGGGGCAGGTCATGGTCTGGGAAAGGCTCAAAGATTGACTGCAAAGACCCAGTTCAGGGAGGCACCTTTCAGAGACGCAGGGGACCTCTTTGGAAACATCAGAGGCAGGGAACAGAAAGAATTAAAATTTGTTCTTTTCCCTTGGGATTACCCCCAGGGGTAGATCCCTTTAACTATGATGATTTATGTGTTTGTTAATCAAGAGTGTGAATAGAGTGCTCATCTCTCTCTGCAGCTAGACCTCTCTTAGGGTTGTATCTTGGTTGGTACATTTGCCATCACGGGGACTATTACTCATTAGAACAGACCCCGCTGTGTCAAGTGCTGCATAAATTGAGGCATATGGGCTCTGTCCCAAAGGACTTAGGAGTTTGAATAGATAGAACCCCAAACCACAATAGAATTACTTACGTTTGTTATCTTACTCATAAAAACATGTTCAAATGCATTAACATTCTGTAAGTGCAAGAACTATAATTTTATGACAACAGATTTGCAAATTAAGGGGGTTTATTTTTTCAGTAAGTTGTTTTTAAAGGATAAATATTGCAACTGTGATTAGGGACCTGTTTAAATGTTTGTAAATTGTTTTCAAACTACCTGTTCCTGCCTGGGAAATACAATGAAGTAATATGAAATTACGCATACCTCCTCTGCTATTTCCGAACTTGCCCTGAGTCCAGTCAAAGGCAGACACACAGTCTGTTGTAATATGATTTAAACGTTTCCAAGTCTTTTTGGTACCATTGGTCACAGTGGTGCCATTGCAGGACCCTTGGCAGTTCATCTTGACTCCAGGGGGAGTTGGATTAGTTCCTAGAGCTGGGTTACCTAAGGTATTTGGGCCTCTGCTACCCTATGCACTTAGGTCTAGTGTTTCTTTACTCCCAAGATCCTTGATAAACTCCATTCTTCTCCTTAGCTTAAGTGGCCCTTTTCCTTGCAGCGCACATATCTGCAGAAGCTGACACAACTCAGCCTGGGACCTCCAAGTCATATCTAAGCCCCATAAAAATCCCCAAACCCATCTGGCTCAGCAAGGCCAGTTTGTGAGAGGGTTCAAGGCATGGTTACTGAGCTGGGTCTCACTGGAGAGCACCTGACAGGGGGTGGCCTTATGGTTCCCCCACATTCAGTAGCCGAAGTATCTTTCAAGGATGCATGAAAACGATGCTCCAAATCTCTACTCTTCTGCTTTCTAGAACTACATGAGCCAAGAGGACATAGGAGATTTGAGATCAGCCTTTCCTAGTCCTTCCTGCTCTTTCTTTAGCTTTTTTTTTTTTAAAAATGACAGCTTATCTTTAAACTTGCCAGACTTGGGCACCTACCTCCTCTCTTCTGTTGTGCATGGTCTGACTCAAGATTCTGCAGGTCAGCCTGCTCCTTTTGTGAATGAAACCCTAAACATGCACCAGTTGCACCAAGTGCAATTCCTCCTGGTATTTCATTTTCACAGACAAAGCAGATACCTGCAATACCCGGACACAGACTGAAGCACAAGAAATCAGAAGGAAACTGAAGGAACAGAGTGGGATATTGAAAGCACACTGCACTAGATTGCACTTTCTTTTCAGGTAACTTGGGAGTTGTATTACATTCTTGAAATGGTTTGGGGTTTTGGTTTGGTTTGGTTTTGTTTTGTTTTTTTTTTTCCCCTGGGTGTTATTTTTGAACAGCCTTGAAAGAATGCAGTTAACTGAGGATTTAAAAGTTGATCTTCCCTGATACAACCCAGTCTGCACCACCCTGCAAACCAGTAGCAGTGACTCCTAGCTGACCCAGGCCCAGACATCCCAGTAGCCTGTGGAGCAGCTGTACAGCCAGCACAGACAGGAGCTCAGACCCGCTGCCCTGAATTGGTCTTTTTTGATGTGTGAGCCTGAGAGGAGCTTTCAGGAGCAGCAGCAGGACTTAGAACTTCCCTGTGAGCCAGCCCCTAGTGAGAGCAATGATTGCACAGGCATGAGCTGTTTGGACCACCAGCGAGAAGGGAGGAAATACCGTCTTCTCCTGGCCCATGCGCTAATATCTTGCAGATGAGAATTAAAATTTAAGTGAAAATTAATAAGGCGCCATGGTCAAATTCAAGCGATGTCTTCTCTTTCCCCTGGAGCTCAGGGCAGAATGGTTACAAGGAACAGTTTCTTTTGAAACCTCTAGTGTTTGGCAAGTTGCTGCATTTACTTCTTGGGGTTTGTCTTCCCTGTGTGTGTCTTGGACAAAGTTTGGAGTCACATTGAGATGTCATCCAATTCTCTTTGGTTTCTTCCTATCTGAAAACACACTTCTCATCTTGTGCAAAAAATTCAGGTTGCTTTTTATTTCCTTGCAATGTGAAGGATGTCCTTCAGACAATATAGATGTTCAGAGAAGTAATCTCATTGACCTCAGTTGCAGATGGAAGTTTCTTGAAGGACAAGGCTGTAGTTTACCTGTCTCCCTATGGAAGAAGTGTTGCACAAGTAACTCCCATTACTGCTAGCAAGGCACACAGAGGTACTTTAGGCAGTGGCTGGGGCCATGCAGCAGTAGGCACAACCAAAATCAGAAAGAAGAAGGTCTGTTAAAAAGGATAGATGGGCCTCTTTGACATCTACATGCTAATTGCTAACCCAATTGCCAGCTCGAATTGCAGCAAAAATTATTGGTGGAAGAGAGGAGAGGTGTAAGGATCACACTAAAGCTCCTGGTGACCGCCCCGCGCCACGCTCGGGTTACCTGGGGACGTGCCGCGATGCTGCCGGTCGGTGTAGTGCCGGTGTCCCAGCACGGCTCCAGCCCTGCCCCTTAGTCTCTTCTCCTCCCCAGCTTTCTGCAGGTGAAAATCTGGGTATACTATGACCATTCACCTGTATTTCAGTCATGTCTTGGCTTGCTACTGAAAGGAGGACTTTAGCAGCAGCAGAGGCCATATAGCCAGGCATGCGGGCTTGGTATAAACCTGATTGCCTATGTGAGATTAATTTATAATTATATGGAAATTAGCTGTAGCAATGAGACCAATCTCACTTTCTTGTGTTTTTCTAACCTTTACCTTGAAAAATATTCAATGACTAATTATTACTATGAATGTTCAGAGCTTATCTAAATAAAATCATACTTTGCTGATTGCTAGCAAATCTATGGATATGGCTTCTGCTCTAATTGGATTACTAATGTGCCTTTCCAAACCAACACACATTTTCAATGTTACATTTAAATAAAACAATAAATGTTATGTTACGTAATAAATTTGATTAGGGCATATTAGTACTTGACTTGCACAAAATAACTAATGAAGTGTGCATTGCACATTGTACAACCAATATGCAATTTCTTTTTTGTGAGTATGTCCATGTTTGAGCTCATATTCTGCTTTTATTAATGCTCGTGCTAGGAAAGCAGGAGCATGACATCACGGAAAATTCAGGAAGGTATCGCCAATTCCACTGAGATTTGATGCATATTATATGCATATTAGTGTATGCCAGTAAGTGGTTCATTATGCACTGTAAATATATTGTGTAGCAATGGCACAGAGGAAGGACTACTTCAGCTTACATGGCCACAGACCAAATGCAGCTACCAATAAAGACACATGCCTTTTTTCTTACTCTTTGTTTATTAAATGGGTAACGTCCACGCTTTAATTAGAATATACATTTACACCACCAAAAAAAAAAAAAAAAAAAAGCAATTGCCCTAAATATTGCATAGCCAAAAAGAGATCTAGGATCGTATCCAGACTTTCAACTCTCAGGAACAAAAATGGTGCAGTTCTGCTTTGAGGTGGGGCTGCAAATCTGCAGCCTTCCTATCTGTTGTGTTCAGTCCTTCCTTGGGAAAGTGAAGAGACAGTAAATATTGATACAATTTATAGCAGAATGCCCAATAGTCTGACAATTTAGCATGGGGGGAAGAAAAAAGCTTTGATCAAGGTACAGCCAGCGTACTGTTACCAAGGAATGAAAAGTGTGGGGAAAGGGAGAGGCTCAGGAGTGTTTTCCAGCAAATCCAGCAGAAAACCAAAGACCTGCTTTGCTCTCCATGCACACGTGGTTATGCCCCGTCACAAAATGTCAAGACACCGTCCCAGGCCCAAGTAGCTCTTGTTGCATCACAGGCTCAGCTACCTCATCTGGACCATGGAGACAAGTATTTTGTGAGACACAGAGGGGAGAGAGAGGGACCCCACGCTTGCACTCACCGTCGGCACTTCATTCAGGAGGTGAACACTGCCAAGGGCTGATTTTGGGGAAGATGATCCCCCAGCCTACTACTGGAAAAGCAGATCCCTTGAAGTGACGACCCATGTTTTGGGTATATGACAGGTGCAGATTCCCATGCCTCCAGTCCCCCCAGTGCCAGTGCCGTGTCATGCCTGGGTGTGTCCCAGCCAGCTCCCAAGCCTGGACACATGTAGGTGGATTTGAAATTGTGTAACATCATTGTCCGAAGTGTTTTCAGGATTAGGTCCCCGGCAGGTGGTGCTTTACCAGACCATCTCAGAAATACAGAGATGTTCCCCCAATCCCTTTGTATTTTGCAGACTGTAAGAGTACTTTTTAAAGCCAGTGAATCAGTGCAAAATTAATGCTTTTATAATAATATACAATAAACATAGTGAAAAAGATTACTGATATTTCTGACAATGTGCAATTCAAACACCGAGTATTTTCTCAATAGCTATAATTTCTGAATTATTGTATTAGTGAATTGGTTTTATTTCCTGCAAGTAAAATTATGTCAAGAAAATTTTTGCTTATAGTAACAGCTATGGGTTGTACAGGCAATGCAAGAATTCAGTTCCACTTTTATTGTAAAGCTTAAGTATCCGAAAGCACAACGTGTGAAAAATGGGTTTGGGTTTCGTGTGTGTGTGTGTGTATGTGTGCGTGTGTAGACATTGTTTATTTACAAAAATTTAAAAAGCTGTCATTCTCCATATACAGACACCCATTCTTAGCTCACTAGAATACTACCTTGTTATATACTTTCTGCAAAAATATTAGTTCCAAATTTCAAGCCAATTTAAAATACTTGAATTACAATATATCTGCTCAGAAGTGTTCCTGTTTATTTTATTTCATTTTAAAAGGGCACAGCTTTGTAGATATCTTTAACTGAGCTGGCATTATTATCTCCTATTAAAAACATCAAGAATTTTACTTCTGTGGTTAATTCCACTGATTTTGGTATTTGCTTACTTCTGTGTTTCACTAAGTGTGAATTATAAAAGGAATGACCAGTTTTATGCTGGTTTCTGGTTGGTATTACTTTCCCATTTGCATTGATAGCAAACAGCTGAAATATTAACACCAGCAAATTATCCAGCAAATGTTCCCAGACACACCAAAATTAGACACTTTTCTGAATATATTTATTTTAAAAATTGTTTTGTAAAATTAAATTATGAGTATAAATTATGTGTTAGAATTACCAGACTGAATATTTTTCCTACCAACAGAAATCCCTGACATGAACTCAATGAAAGATGCTAAAGACCCAGTTTTCTGTAAGACCTTCCTATTTTATTTGTCCTTTTTATCTAATTCGTTTAAAATTTTTAAAAGAATGTCAGAAGGATGTATATCCCATTTGGAAAATGCCCTACGCTGTACATTCGCTCCTACGAATTGAGCTTCTAAAGAGATTAAAACCAAGACTACCCAATCACTGCAAACATACTTGTACATAAAGCTTCAAAACTTTAATATTTTTACCTGTTTGGGAATTGCAGACTAAGAGCATGCTAATGTAATTCTAATTCAGGCAAAGCTCAGGCAGGCTCCACTCGCTACTTACCACTTTTATCAAAAAGACCACCAGTACGCACCTACAGCATCAAGGATAATTTACCAACTCATGATGCACGAAGATGTTATTTTGTAGGTTGGTTTGGCAGCCAGGATTTACACCGGGTGGTTAAAGCAGCTCGGCTGGGTGATGCTGGGCAAGTCCCTTTGCTGTGCGTCAGGACACGGTTTGCCACCGCCCCAGCCCGCCTCAGCTCCTAAGGACAGTCCTTGTCTTTAGGCATTGTACACACCTGCCCCTGCCCCTGAATCAGGGTGAGCAACTGTGCTATTCGAATTATCAACATATTAAAAAAAAAAAAAAAAAAAAAAAAAGAGAGGAAAAAGCCAAAAAAGATGACTGATATTATATTGAGCCACTCTTGAGAAGCAAAGTGAAGTGCTGTAGCCTGCACTAGACCGTTTCTGGCCACCTCTGAACTCCAGGTTGTTCCCAAAAGTGGAGTGTTTGGGACCCAGGTGCAGTTATCAGCTCATTTTACATTCAGGCCCTGCACCAGCAGAGCAGTAACGCTGTGATCCTACTTTCCTGATCAAATGGATAGAGAGATTTGTTTAGGCTTTATGATGACAGCATATATAAATATTAGAAGATGAATCAATTACCAGGTCTGGTTATATTTACCAGGAGATCTTTATCAGTAAAAAAGGGAGAGATTGTTTTACCATCTTACAAGTACAGTGAAGCAACAAAAGAAGTGGTGCTCTGAACAGAAGGTGCCAAAATATACAGTTGGGTCCCAAAGCTCAGGCATGCAACACGAAATTACCGTAGCGTTCATTTCTAGTGCTCAATGCACCTGCACCTTGAGGGAAAGCCTCGGTTTCTGAAAGCACTGGGGTAGGCAAGACTTATATTTTCTTCATCTGTATGAAAAGAAAATGTATTTGAGGACATGCCTTGGTCTGAATAGCACTCAGGGATGGAGCTGCCTCCATCCCCCAAATTTAAGCATGCCCATGGTCTAGAGACCATGAATAATGGTCCAGACCCCAGCAGCAAATGGACCTGGCTTGGGATGGCTGGTTCATGGAGAGGAGCTGTATGTCATGGCAGCCTGCAGCTGCCTTCTCCCGCCAAGCTGCCTACCCCAGCGTGGGATCCATCCCACCACCAGCCCCCTGGTCTGCAGCCAGCGAATGTACTGCCAGGAAAGCAATGCAAACCAACGTGGTCATATCCCTGCAATCTTAATAGGCTAAAAACATCAGAAAATATAGAGCTCATTTTCTACTTTAATGATCAAAAGGGTGTTGCCCATTATTCACAGCCTACACACAAGACATCATGATATTCAATTTTCCTGCACTGATTGTTCAACGCATTTGACACCTGACCTTCAAGTGGTCATGGGTTTTCAAAAAGAAAAAAAGAGAGAAAAATAATCCCCCCTAACAAAAAAACCCAAACACTGAACATCAGCATATCAGAAACAAAATAGTCCTAAATGAGACAGTAATGACCTCACATGCCAAAGCTGTGAGCGGAGCTGCCTCTGGCCATTACAGCCAGCTGCTTCCCCAGCAGTGGGTAAAGTCTGGGTTCAGGAGAGTATCAGCTGGAGGTTTGGGGTGCTGGACATTGCCCTGCAAACAGCTGCAGCAACAGCAGTGGCACTTTCCGAACAAGTTTCTGCAGCTGTTTCTACACTACTAGGGACATTTCTCATCACCAGTACTGAAATCAGAGCACAGCAGCAAGTCTTACACAAGCTTTTTATTGTCACCAGTGAATATGGGTATTAGCCAGGGACTATTATTACAACTTGAGAGGACTTTCAGCTGGGAGTTGGTCAGAAAAAAATTACCTTTCTCTGACCAGAAACAGCTGTGGCAGGTCTTAGTGCCTGGCATCACTCAACATACTCCCAAACCGTTGAACAATGCAGAAATTACCTAAATAAGCCAAAAGAGCCGGTAGGTTATACAAAGCAAATGCTGCTCTTGCCTAAATCTGGAGTAACTTAGTTGAATTGCAGGTAGTAAAGAACCTAATTAAATAGGCGTAATGACTTTTGAATGCCTGCTAGAAGTCAAAAGGAGCTGTATGTACTTTTCCAGCACAATTTTCGTTGTGTTTACTGAGTCAAGAGGTGAAATGATGAAGCATAAATTCCTGTAAAATGTTGATTAGAAAACATAGATTTTTATTCTCTTTCAGATGATGCTTCCTAGAAAAACATTACAGTGGAATAAATTTCAAGATTGAAATCTACTTAAGTGGCATTTTTTAAAATGCTTTAATTCTGGGTTGACAGGAACTTTGCCTCCAACACATACCATAATGGTGAGCGCTTGTAACGAACCAGTCCTGGTTTTCATGTCAGCTCAGGATTTTTCCACTATAAGATCTTTGAATGAAGAGGACGAAAAGCCATATACAAAGCCAATTAAATACAGGTCATATTTCTACTGGTACGTTATATACAGTTTGCAAACAAAAATGAGTATTTTGGGCTTGGCACCCCTTCATTCACAGAAGCATGGTTATGGACCTAGGAGGCAGAGATGGCTGATGCGCAGCCACGTTGCAAAGTGGAGCAGAGACGTTGGCGGAGGATGTGTAGAGCTGGGAGCTAATGAGGCCATGGAAGAACTCGCTGATGGTGTTTGGGGAACATTCCTGTGTGTTTTTAATGCTGTGGTACATGACTGAGTATGAACTCTGTACATCTCGGAGGATGTCAAATTCCAGGTGATGTTTGGATTGTTGCAATTAAGCTATTACAAAGACTTTTGAAATAAACAGGAGAAAAAAAGTTGCCTGGGATGTGTATGCAAGTACTCTTCTTTTCTGAGCATGGGGTGCAGGTGGAAGGCAGAAGCACCTCCTGGCTGAGAGATCCTCTCTGAAACTTATGGCTTGGAGACCACAGAGCCATAAGGGGAGACCCCTCAGTCCCCTAGATGCTGACTAAACTGTGTATAGTCAATCAGAGCCAGGGAGGATAGTAACTAGTGTGACGTGTTTCTAATGTACATGACGGTCATCTATTAAAGTTTGCAGCTGACTGGTCCTTTGCTGTACAATAAAGTAGAGAGCAGATGGAAACTGTTTGCTCTGTAACCATTTATGAGGAGCTCCCTATATAGCCCATCTCCTCAACTTCCATTCAAATAAATAGAATCCATCTGTCTAAGGTATTAAGATAAATCCTGGAAATTTTGGTATTGACTAGAAAGGCACTTTAAAAATCAATCACACTGCAAACAGAGAAATGTCACTGCACCAAAAGTGAGGGCTTGCTAATCTTGCTAGATAACATGGACCCAAAGTGCAAACCTTTTATGGTTTATAAACCCAGCCAAAACCCTTCTTGTTGTCCCCATCTCCTTAGCTAATTAAAACAAGCCCTAGTGAGAGCTGGTGCTGGGCGCAAGCTCTGGATGGCACCCGCTGCTGTGGTGTTCCAGCCAGACACACACCCTGCAAGGGCTGGTTTGGCAACCCCTGCTTGCCAAAAATGCATGCAAATTATTTTCCCGACAGAAAGGATAAGGGCTGCAGCGTTACAGCCACCAAAATTTATGCTGGGTCACGCAGCGAAGGGGAGAGGGAAGCTGTTGGCTGCTTAGCACTGGTTCCACTGATGCTAGGTGTCCTCAGAGATGCTGACATTGGGCATACCAATTCCCCTGGGATTTATTTGGGGTCTCCCATGCTTCAAGGAAGTTCAGATTTTCAGAATATTTCAATTTCTTCAGAATTCCAACCATTAAGTTTTCCATCACAGAGTATGACAGGAAAATCCTACTAATCTGTTAGATATTCATATTTACAGAAAACTCCTTTTAATTTTTAAATATCAATTACACTTTCCACACCACTCTCTTTTGATGTTATTGTTCTGGTTCCTTCCTGGTTTGCAAATATATCCCTTCCTGGGTAACCAGCAGCTACCTCAGTTCTCTTAATGGGAAAAAAAAAAAAAAAAAGGTACTGAGCTCTGGTCTCCAAGAAGGCAGCAAAACAAATGAGAGGAAGAGAAAACTCACCCAGATGAGCATCACCAGCAACTCCCACAACCGCTTCCAAGGTCTCTGAAGTGGCTCATCCTGGCGTAGGCAAAAGGCCACTGTGAGAGCATCCATCCTTGGTGCCAGAGAGGAGGTGGGAAAAGACAATGGCTCACTGGGAGCTGACTTCCCTTGTTTCTGCTGCTGGTGGAAAGCTCATCCCTGCTGCCCTCTGGTAAGCCCAGGCCCGGCTTGCTCTGACCCTTGCTGATGCCTCTAGGAGCAGACACGGGGCTGCCGGTACCCAGCCAGGGGATGCATCAGCCACCAGCCCCCTAAAGTTCCTTCCCAGAGGCAGGAGTGTAAAAATAGCCTTTAATGCATTTTCTTGCAGCAGGATCCAGCCCTCACATAAAGGCTGCATTTATATTTACATCTCCATTATGCTACACTACAAGGCATTTATGTTACAGAGATGATGGAGCTGCCTCAAGCTCCCAAATGTGTCGCTGGAATCTTATTGCATACGCGTACCGGTACCAGCTCGGTGTTCAGGCTGTCTGCTGGCACATCAACGCCGTGCCACGCTGACTCCCCTCCTTTCAGCATCCTCCGCAGTGGGCACACATGCATTTTTGACACCCTCATCCTCCTCCCAGCTCACTGAGATATGGAAGAAGATGTGGCCTTAATTTTGAGAGAAACAAGCACACTGGATAAAACCCTGCACAAGGGCTGATATGTACATGATGAGGCAGTTACAGATGATTTATTAGACCCTGTGCAGTGTGATTTGAGGTTTAACGAAGTATTGGGTTTTTCAGCAGTCCCAGCCACTGAGCTGCAAACTTCATTGGAATGACTGCTCCCGCATTTTTCTGGGTCTGAGTTTCATTCTCCTTCCACGTCCCGTAGGCATCTGATCACACACTGAGAAACACACCGTCACCTCCTTCGCAAGTCTATATCCTATCCGGAAAGTGCATTTGTGCAACTATTACATTTACATGGGAAGATTACATAAAGGTTAAAATCCGGCTCACCCTAGTCATGTAACCAGTTATTTTGGTAGAAATGAGGCTATTTAAATGAGTAAGCCAAAAAAGGTTTCACCCGAAACACCCTTGAAATGTGCTGTAGAAGTCATTAAAGCCCTCACCATGGCCCCTGTTTGTCTCTTTGCTTTTATTCGGTTTAATTGGTCTCTTACCCTGTTTATTCCTCTGCCTGCTTCCAGGTCCCCTGTTTCCTTCCCAAAGCTTTATTCTCCCAAACTAATTCAAAAGCCGTGTGTGAACTTGTGACCTGCCGAAATCGGTGACAAAACCTCCGCGGCTGAGCTGATCACCACAGTGCCTCTAAGAATAAATCACGCCCTTGAGTTTGCACTAAGCCTCCCTGTTCCCCTCTGCTCTCCGAGCAATTCCTTCAGAGGATGAAATACCATCGCCAGGTGTAATTAAAAACAGTTCGTATCCTGTTAGGATTACAGGTTTAAAAATCTGAGTGCCAGGGAAACAAGGCGTTTACAGTTTTTGTAGGAAACGAACTCCCACAGGAAACATATAACTTAATTTTGCTGTCAGATGTTCCCACAGACTCCTCTTGAAAGTCAGCCGAAGCTGTACATATGTGCCTGAAATCAGTTTTTTAAAAAAAGTTAGATTTATATTTAGATTGTCACCCTCCAGTCATTCAAAACAGTTCATGTGGGAAGTTTTTAATGCTGTGATGAAACCCTTTATTTTGGAATTTATTGACATTTCAATGTCTATAATCAGAGCTATACCGCTGCATTGACTCGGAGACTGCTGGTCCTCCTGCAACCCATGAGCTCCTGCACAGACATAAGGTCCCTTTCCAGAAGAGCCATCATCTGCTGCATCCCCAAGTGACCAGTGAACTTGTGAGAGAGACCCTATAAAAAAGATGCTAGGTGCCATCAAAATTGAGAAGGGTTGGCCACAAGTCTCACCTCACCAGAGTTACAAGCTTCCTTCATAGTGCTACTCTGTTTTAATTGTAGACTAAGTGAGCAGAACCTGAACCAACACATTTGCGTGCCTTGGGAGAGATGTCCTCACAGGGGAATCTTATTTCCTATGCAAACTTCCGCGTGAAAACTTCTGGTTGCCTCTAACACAAGACACCATGTTGACACCAAGAGAGATGGCTTTCTGAGTGATTCAGCCCTGGAGCAATGGCAAAAGATTTGGGATACTTTCTCTTCAGGCACATTTGCAGAAATAGGAGAGGCAGCCCCCTTCACTCACCCTGATAGCTGCAGGTACTGCAGGTAGATGCATGTTGTGCAAAGTTTTATGTCCATAAGTCCATCACCACCTAAATGCCAATCGGGTGGCAAAATCCCGCATGTATGGCCAAGGAAATTACTCTGACCTTCATAT